TGAATTGGGTATAGGAGGCGGCCTGGTGGTATACTGTCTATAGTGGAGTTTCCATCATGCTGAGCTGTGAGGCAGGGAAGCCACAGATCACACTTTTTACTGAGTTTTAGTAACTTTTCCTCAATGTTCATTCATTTGCTCTATTTTCTTTTTCTTACTGATTTTTTTACAGAGAGGAAGGGGGAGGGATAGAGAGTTAGAAACATCAATGAGAGAGAAACATCGATCAGCTGCCTCCTGCACACCTCCTACTTGGGATGTGCCCGCAACCAAGGTACATGCCCTTGACCAGAATTGAACCTGGGACCCTTCAGTGCACAGGTCGATGCTCTCTATCCACTGAGCCAAACCAGTGAGGGCAATTTTGCTCTATTTTCTTAGGATCATTTGTAGAGACTAAATAGTCAGATATTTGTTTGTTTTATTAATGTATTTATTTATGCTAAACCTCACCTGAGGATAATTTTTCCTTTTTTTTTTAAGAGAGAATGGAAGGGAGTGAGTGGGGGAGAGTGTGTGAGAGAGCCAGTGAGAGAGATAATCTATGAGGGAGAGACACATCAATTGGTTGCCTCCTGCACACACCCTGAACTGTGGCGGGGGATCAAACCTACGACCCAAGTATCTGTCCTTGCTGGGAATCAAACCCATGAGCCTTTGATACACAGGCTGATGCTCCAGCCACTGAGTGACACCAACCAGGGTTTGTTTTTTGTTTTTAAGTAGTTTTCATCAGTTTCACTAGGGAGCAGGTCTGCAGAACTTCTCAGGCTGCCATGCTGGAAGGCTATTTTCAAATTCATTTTTAGGGACCCTTTTTAACCTTAATTCCAAAAATTGATAAGGGTAATACCAAGATGAAACTGTAAATTCGGCCGAAACCGGTTTGGCTCAGTGGATAGAGCGTCGGCCTGCGGACTGAAGGGTCCCGGGTTCGATTCCGGTCAAGGGCATGTACCGTGGTTGTGGGCACATCCCCAGTGGGAGATGTGCAGGAGGCAGCTGATCGATGTTTCTCTCTCATCGATGTTTCTAACTCTCTATCTCTCTCCCTTCTTCTCTGTAAAAAATCAATAAAATATATTTAAAAAAAAAGAAACTGTAAATTCGTTTATTATCTTCTCTATATGAAAGGCTAATATGCAAAGTGTCCCCCTGGGAGTTCGATCCCTCCCTATGATGTACGCTCGCCATTGGGACAGTGCAGAGCGAAGGAAGGCCAGCAGCTGGCAGCCAGGAAGGGAGGCCCCAGCCAGCAGCCAATCAGCCCTGATCTCCGGCCAGACCTAGGGACCCTACCCGTGCATGAATTTCATTTAATACTTTTATTCTTTAACTAGAATAAAAGCATTAAATAAAATATTAGTAATTATCAATCTAGTAGTGATTCAAATGTGTGATATACTATAAGTTTGTTTCTGGAATACAGGGATAAATAAGTAACATCAGTATAAAATACTGGAAATGAAAACTTTTTATATGCAAATAAATGAGTATATTCTCAGAAAATAGGAATGATTCCAACAAAATGTTCTTAATTCATTGAATCTGGTAACCATGTTGGGATTCAAGATAACATACAAAATATACTAGTTTTTCTCCACTATTGTAATAACCAGTTAGAAACATAAATGGGAGGTGGGGGAATCCACTTACAATAACCACAAAATGCATTGAAATAATTAGGAATGTAGATTTAAGAAGTTATAGGATCTTAAACTTCAAAGACATGAGACAAGACCTCAGTGCATGACAGAACAGACTGTGTTCTCAGGTGGAAGAGTTAATAACAAGACACAACGAAAACCAGTTCTCCTCACATTAACGTAGACAGTGCAATTCCAGTCAAAGTCTAGGGAGGGGTACTGGCTGAAATTATTTCAGGGCCTTGCTTTATCAGATATAACTAACTGCAAAGCCAGTGCAATTAAAAACAAAAAAGTGTTAATGGCATAGTAATAAAACTAGAACCAGAATAGAGTCAGTCTAGTGAAAGATCCCAGTGCCTTTTGGAACTTAGTATTTGTCAAAGTCAAGTACAGGTCCCTTATCTGAAACGCTGGGGCCAGATCTTTTTAAGTTAATTTTTGGATTTCAGGACAGCTACCCTAGGATCTGGGAGAGTGCCTTGTAGTTGAACCACCAATAATTCTTCAAGTGACTCGTATAAGTGGGATAAATAAAGATGGTACAAAACATAATGTCAGCTCATGTTTTGCCACCAGGTGAGTTATAGGGGAAAAGTTTTGGGTTTCAGTTTTATAAGTAAAGGGTTGTAGACCTCTGTGTCAATTCAGTAGGGGAAACTGGTTTATCTTATAAATTTCTGGAAAGGAAAGAAAGTTGGCTTCTATCTCATACCATATATTTAAATTCCAGAAATCTTAAATGTAAAAAACAAAAGAACAAAATTTAGAAGATTATTTGTTTACCTTGATGTTAAAGGAAGCCTTCCTGAGCAAACCGGGAAACGCAGACATTGTTTTAGTACAGTTGGAGGAAGCATGGTTTACAACTGTTTTGTAAAGTACTCGGGTACTCTGCCTTTGGTGAACCTGTTTGGTAGAATTAAAAGCACCAGCATAGAATTACAATGGAACCTCAGTTCTCAAACTTAATTTGTTTTGGAAGGCTGTTCAAGAAGCAGTTTGTTCAAAAACCAAATCATCCTCCCTACACCCCCCCCACACACAATTAATTCGTTCCAGACCCCAAATGATTCCCTGTATTAAATCTTTCTTATATAAGGTACATGTCTAATGTGCTGCTTGATCTATAAAGAAACACTTCTTAAATTTATCAACTACCCTCTACTAGCCTTAAAGGAATCACTGTCAGCACTTGTCTTTCAGGTCAGCATGCAGCATCTTTGCATGTTCATATATCACTGCCTTCAACATGCTGTCACAGGCTAACTGCTTTTTGATTATCCAAGTCAAGTTTTTCTACTACTTCAATTGCCTGTGATCATTGTTTCTTTCACACCATTAGCAACTCTTGATGCCCTATTTATTTAAAAATTGTGCTAATTTTCCATTGCCAGCAACAAAAGCAAAAAAAATATTCACAGCACAGTTCCCTGAGATGTTAACAACCTGAGGTTTAGCAGAAAACTGACTCATACTGGCTCATTCTCTCCTTTGTTACTGAAAAATGCTTTTTTAAAAAAAAAACACCTTGATGTTATTTTATACATTACTACTTTTTTAGAATTATTCTTTTTTAAAATATATTTTTACTGATTTCAGAGAGGAAGGAAAAGGGAGAGAGAGATAGAAACATCAACGATGAGAGAATCATTGATCAGCTGTCTCCTACACACCCCCTACTGGGGATTGAGCCTGAAACCGCGGCATTAGTCCTTGACCAGAATCAAACCTGGAACCTTTCAGTCTGCAGGGCAACGCTCTATCCACTGAGCGAAACCAGCTAGGGCTGAGAGATACTTTTTTGTCTTGCTGATGTATCAGCATGAAAGAGTTTTCAGGTCAAGAACTGAAATTTGTTTTCAGTGAACAACTTGGAAGACATTGGAATTGTTTGAGATGTGAGACCTTGGAGAACTGACTGTATTTGTTTATTTTGGTGCTGTTTGGTTATTGTAGCTGAAATCTAGAAACAATGTAAGTGTGCCTCAGTTGGGAGACATTGTGGTGTGTGCTTAAGAGTTGGAGAGGAGCTGGTCTGTTGTTGTATCCTAATTGTTCATCTCTAACGTTTCAGTTTGAGCATGTGGGAGTTCTATTAATATTTTGCCCAAGTGGTGGAGGAAATGTGTAAAAAAACCCAAAACAACAGCAAGGCCGAGGCAAGGAAAGGGAATACAAACAGCAAGTGAAACATGATGTAGAGTTGGCTGGGGCTCAGTAGGTAGGGCTTCCCCCAACAAAAATGACTTTATCAGTTCCTTTCTGCTTATTACCTTTGTAATGATGAAGGTGCAATTTGCCTGTACCTCACCACTGAGGAAATCACTTGGCAGTTTGGTGTAAATCCTCCCAGACAAAAGACTTGCAGCTATACAGATAGTCTATCCTACATCTTTATTACCAGGGGAGAGGTGAGCCCTATTTAAGGACTGCATGGTTCTTTTGAATGTATGATCTGTTTAACCACTTCTCCACTGAAGAACACTTAGGTGCTCTCCAGTTTTTCACTACTGTATGCACAGTTCCAATTCTTAAACTTAGGATAGATTCCAGGAAGAATTGCTCAACTATTTTTACTTTTTTGTTTGTTTTTTGTTAATTCTTACCAGAGGATATTTTCCCATTGATTTTTAGAGAGAGTGGAAAGAAAAGGGAGAGACAGAGAGACACATCAATTGGTTACCTCCTGCACATGATCCCGACCAGGGCTGGGGTACCTGCCATCAACGTACGTGCCCTTGACCGGAATCGAACCTGGGACTTTTCAGTCCATGGGCTGATGCTCTCTATCTACTGAGCCAAACTGGCCAGGACCAAAAATTTTTACTTTAGATACATTCTATTAAACTGCTTTCCAAAAAATATAAGTAAACAGTTGAGCCCCTTGTCAGCAGTGTAGAATTACACCCCAATTACATTTGGGTGTAAGGCTTCATCTGGGAATCCTATGGATTAAAAGGATATATATCACTTAAATATACTGTTTGACATTTGTATTCCAGTTCTGTGCTTAGGAGGGCAGCTGCCTCTCTTCTGGATTGCTCATTTGGCTTTTAGTAGGTTTTTAAATATGTAAGCAAGTCAGATTTCTGCAATACAGCTGTAAAGATGTGTTTTTACTCAGTTACATACAGTAAGTATGGTGTGGAAGAATGGAGCATTTCAGCAACGGTAAAATCAGGCCATGGCTCGCTCCATGCTTGGAGGGTGGCCACACACTTGTACTCAAGGTACACTTAGAAACCCACACAAGGTGGAGGTGTGCAGTGAGGGAGGGCCCTGCCATCTGGCAGGTGGGGGTCTTTTGGGACCCGGAGCAGCCTCTCCATCCCCGCCTGCTCCTATCCGCAGCTCATGATGGAGCAGTCTAAGAAGTCCTCCCTCATGGTGGCCCGCAGCATCCTCAACAACAAGCTCATCAGCAAGAAGCTGGAGCACTACCTGAAGGTGAGGCGCGGGCGCCTGGAGCCTGGCTGCATCCCCAGCCCCCGCCCTTGTCCCCAGCCCTGGTCCCGCGAGTCCTTTCTCCCTTTAGCATCTGTGCCCTTCCCACAGGGCGAGAACCCTTTCACCGACAGCCCTGAGGAGGAGAAGGAGCAGGAGGAGGCCGAGGGCAGCGCCCTGGATGTGGGGCCATTGATGGACGCGGCCGGAGCCACGGAGGGTGC